GTGTGTGTGTGTGTGTGTGTGTGTGTGTGTGTGTGTGTGTGTGTGTGCAAAACTGGTTTCGTTACCATAGTGTCGCTAGTAACCGTCAGTCTGCTTCGAAATTTTGGCTTGTACGGACATAAAAATAAAATCATGTCTCGCAAAGGTAAAAAGAACGGTTTTCGTCAATCAAGACCACGAAAAAGATCGTTTCAAGGAAATCAGTTTACTGCCGAAACGGAAACTGCATCAACGAGTAATGCGGCTAAAAAATTGAAGACTGCGGATGATGACATTATTATAAGTCAAACTCACGACTATCGCATTATTGAATTTTTCACTGTTTTTAGTGCTTTGACTCAAATGCTAATTTGTAAAGATTGCAAGAAAAATGTAACTTTTGGTGAAACGGGAAGTCGCGGATTAGGATTCAAAATAGCTGTTACTTGCTCATGTGGTGTTCGGAAGATCGATTCAGGCCCTTTTATTAACAGTGCCTTCGAAATTAATAGAAAAATAATATTTGTCATGAGATTGTTGGGAGTCTGCAAAGAAGGCATAAATTTGTTCTGTGGTCTCATGGATATGTGCCAAAATTTCCATCGTGAAGTATATTATGCCGCTGTAGAAAACATTTATACTGCATCCAAAGGTGTCTTCCATACATTGTGCCATAAAGCCGTCAAAGAAGAAATGGAAGTAAACATGCAAAAAGGAAAGCCATCGCAAAATTTGATCGTTTTCGACGATGGAACATGGAAAAAGCGTGGTTTTTCATCTTTATTTGGTGTAACAACGCTCATAGGACAAAACACTGGAAAGATAATTGATCTCGTCGTAAAAAGCAGCCATTGCCAATCTTGTATTTTTTGGAAGAACAAAAAGGGCACTGTAGAATATTCCGAGTGGTTTGAAGATCACAAAGAAACGTGCTCCATCAACCATTCTGGATCTTCCGGAAAAATGGAAGTGGATTCAATGAAATAGATGTTTTCCAGATTTGAAGAACAGTTTGGCGTGAGATACTGCAATTATATCAGCGATGGCGACTCTAAAACTTTTAAAGCTCTTATGGATTTACAACCCTACGGCGAGGATATAACATTGAAGAAACATGAATGTGTTGGGCACGTCGAATAAAAAATGGGCACTTGCTTAAGAAATATAAAGAAAGCGGCGAAGCTCGGAGGAAAAGGAAAGCGACGGACACACTAATAAAAAAATTGACAAAATATTACGGATTAGCAAAAAGAGGACATCCGGATTCGGTTGAAGAGATGAAAAAGGCCATCATGGCTACTTGTTATCACTTATGCTCAACCGATGAAAAACCACAACACGAATACTGTCCAATGGGGTGTGAAAGTTGGTGCAAATGGCGAGTAGCAGAAGCGACTGGGAAACTAGATGAATTTGAACACCCACCTGCTTTTCACAAGGATGTTCCAAAGCAATTGTTGCCGATTTATCAAGATTTGTCCAAGGATGATCTATTGGAAAGATGCTTAGGCGGATATACGCAGAATTCAAACGAAAGTTTCAATGCAAGTCTGTGGCGTCTGGCGCCAAAACATCTTCACTGCGGCGCCAAAACAATTGAAATTTCTGTATATTTTGCTACTGCGATCTTCAATGAAGAGTACTACCCTATTTTAAAAATAATGGAAACAATGAGCATTGTGATCGGACAACAGACCAAGGGATTCGTCGATTCACAGAATGACAAACGACTGCAGAGAGCAGAAATTCGTACTTGAGAGAACACGAAAGAAGCTCAAACAGCCAACAGAATGCAGAAAACTGCCCAACAGGAGTTATACGAAGAAGAGGAAGGCATATTGTATGGGCCCGGAATAGCGGATTGAACATTATTTCATTGTAAGTATCGTGAAAACATCAAGAACTTCATTTCTATATTCAAGTACGACTCTTTTGACCCGCCATTTTAAATCCGCCATTTAAAATTTTAAAAATCTGATATCAGATTCGGATTCAGCGACCTCAAAAACCTTTATACTGAAATTTGCATGCATTTTTACATGCTTTTTTGGCTGAGAGCAAAAAAATAAACTTTAAATGCGTTTTTCTCAGAACCACTTTTTCCAACTTTGCGTACAAGATAACTCAAAAAGTAATCACTCAAATAACTTTCGCCAAGCATGATTCGATTCCTTACAATTTTCTCCAGGGATTGAACCTGCGTTTACATTTTATTGTTTATTTATAACATTTTTATCAACAACAAAAGATCGATTTTTTGATAAAAAAATGTCACTTTTCTTACGATTGCTGTAACTTCTTCAATTTTTCATATTTTTATTTGCAAATAGGTTCAATCCCTGCGTAATTGATTAAGCTTTAAAGAAAATTTTGATTTTTTGCTTTCAGATAACTCAGCTCGTTGCTACATTGTACGCAGCTAACCGTTGCGCTACCAACATTGCGCTTCAAAATTGTCCGTCAATATAATAAAAATTAATGCAACTGAAAAAAAAAAAAAATTTTTTTTTCTTTAAAAATGCCTTTCTATATTACAAAAAAAATTAATCCAATATCACTTATAGTTTCCTTGAAAAAAATTCCCAAAAAATCATCATTTTTCACCCGGCTAAAGTAGACTCCTCCCTTAACAAATATTTTAAAGAAGAAGAACTAGACTTCTTTACCAAAAAATAATATTTTCTTGTAAAATAAAATTAATATTAGAATTTACAGTAATAGATAATACAGAATAGATAATTGATCTATTTTAGTCTAAAGAGCGTTATTATTGCTGTAATATATTGCCAATTCTGGCATATTATGGTTATTTATAAATTATTTAGGTACACAGTTTATAAAAAAGTAATTTAACATTTAATAAACGTTGATTAGGCTACATATTGTTGTTGAAAATAATCAGTTAACTTTAGCAATAATAACATGTCGAAAAGACAGAGCCAAAAATGCAGTAACTTATTTGATTGGAAAAGAAACCACAATCTCATAATCTTAAAATAATAATTGCGCTTTGCGGGAGGGAGGAGAGAGAGAGGTGTCTAGTTTCCATTTCTATCTCGTTCTACCACGCGCGTCTGAATATACTGCAAATTCATTCTCTATATTCCGCGTGCCGCCGAATGGGCGGCATTTTATCGGCTGCATGTGTGTCTATACGCGCGTGTCGGCGTGTAGAATGCCCTGGCATTCGACTTCACTTCCAGCGTACATAAACGTGGCTTAACGAGCGTGAACGTAGGGCGTAGAAATGCCGCGAGTGCGGGGAATAATATCGCCGCTGAGGGCGGCGTGATTTGGCGCTCAGCGAGATCTTCCCTAAGAGCGTCGTCTTTTTTAATTGCAGGCGACGCGTACCACCCTCGTTTCCGATCAGCAGCGACGTGGTGAGGAGTTTGAGTTTTTTCCTCCTCGTTTCGTCATTGCGGCACCGTTTCTCTCTTTTCTTCCAGGTATGTATTTGCGATACTCATCTTTTCGCTGCTCGTTGTTCTATCAGGGTAGAATAATACGTTTGACATTCTCTGTCGAGGTAAACTGAGCCTTGCCAAAAATCGGGACAAACGGTGGAAGTCGCTCACAATCGCAATGCCTGAACGACAGATTTTCTGTATAATTGTTTATATAGTTGTTTGTGATAAATCTATATTTAGAGAGAAAATAATTTTTAGATCATTAAGTTGTTGAATTACTAAAATATTCCTTATTCATTAGATATCGATATTATAAGAAAATCATTTGACGTTTTAAATTTATACATATTGTATATATAGTCCACTTATACACCTATGTAAATTTAAAATGTCAAATAATTTTCTCATTATATATCGGCATATAATAGAGTAAGGAATATTTTAGTAACCTAACAACTTAATTATCTAAAAATTATTTTTATTTATGTAATACATGAGTTTTAAAATGGGCGCATTGTAAATTAAATTCTGAACCGACATGGAAGCAATCTCTTTGAGCCTTCGCCTTTCGTACAGCGACTGCAAATAACAGTGATAGGCAAGCCTTAATTAAATCCGTGGCAAGAATTGACAGTGCATACGCGTACCTTTCATTGACGAATACACGCGTCACTGCATTTACGTTATATGCGATGTTGTATTCAATTAATGGCCTGTTCCCGTTGTACGTGGATGGCTTAATTATTATACTGTATGTACAATTTTACTAACACATAAACGATACGGCAATTCTGTCTTAACTTTCAAGAGGTACTTCGCGACTTGCATTATTCAAATCTTTTCAAACGTATTAAGAATTAATCTTTTCTCTTTAAAAAAAAATGAATATCGTGTCTTGACTGTAATCAAGTATAATCGAGAGCGTTTTTTTTTCTTATATCATTACCTACATGAAAAAATTTATCTTGCTGAAACGCAATCAATATCCCCGTTAGTATGATATATTATCTTAGGTAAACATTTATTAAAAAAATGTGTTTCTTTAAATTTTGCAATGCAATGGTGGGTGTCACCAAGTAGATAGTGATCTGAAGGTTAATACTCGCGTGATTATTAGGCTGTCGTAACCGTTACAGTTGCATTACGTTAATAATTACGGTCACAAAGTAAGCCAATTCGCCTTTACCAAACAGAGAGTTAATTGCGGGCTATTAAACGTTCAGGCGCGCTGCTCTGCTCGCCTATCTCGTTATATCTGAGCAATTTCGTTTCTTCACGCTGGAAATGCGTCACGAGCATTATCGGGTAAATTGAAAGCATTAGTGTGGCGAATCGAAGGCTAGCGTTTGCTACGACCGCGGCTGCGGCTATTCAGCCTCGTCAGAGGCTCGTTATCCTTTTATCATAGCTGGTCATAGCACTTCACAGGCAGGTGAGTCGATGCTTTCATTATGCCACCCTGTATATATGACATACGACCTCGGCCGAGATTTGTTACTCTTCAGGGCTAACCGGTAATCACAAATCACTCATCTCCTCTGGGTATAGTTTCAACAGATCGTATTCATTAACAAGAAAAGCAGAATTTATCTTTGGACAAATAGCGAATTTTTGATAAGAATATGAAGAATGTAACAAAGGAACAATTCTAAAATTCATTGGCGCCCGAAAATCCAAAGCATTGAATATTTAAAGACTAAAAAGTAACAAAATTTTTTAAATGATAAATATACCTACATAATACTAAATTAAACAGTTTTAAGAAATTGTGCTCTCCTAATTAATCTTTTAAATTGTTCGAAAAATTATCATCAAAAATTGCCATATCGAAATACAAAATATTTTATGTAGGACACGTGATTTTTTCTGATATTTTTAGATATCGTTTCAGTAGTTGAACTATAGTCGAAGTATTATAGTCGAACGAAAGGATTAAATTGAGAACTCGAGCTTGGACTGTCTTTCTATGCGGAATTTTTACGTAGGTTCAATGCACTCGGCACTGTCATATGATAAGGGCTTTGCATGTGCACGCGACGTCATATCGCTAATAGAGCAGGTCTCGATCGAGGCTGCCGTATCACGATAATGAAACAAATGAAAAGAAATGACAGCGTGGATGAAGATAAATGGTCTTCGGTATACTAGACTCGATCTCCTAAAAGTAACAGAACGAGCGGAGCGAATCGACTCTGTGGGCGGTATTCATAGTCTTTTCTTAATGAATAAGAACTTTTTATTTATACACGTGTACATACGCACACATGTGTAAATAAGAAATTCTTATTCATCAAAGAATGACTATATATGAATATTATTCTAATTGCAAGTATATATATAACGACATACATGACTAATTCTTTATAGATCACGTAGTGTTTCGAACATTTGAGTGTTCTCGCTTTGACTGATTATAAGAATTATACAAACGTAATTTATGTAACAAATTTTAGGTATATTATTTATATATTTAAAACGGATTTAAAATCATAATTTGACTAAAGATTTAATAAAGATATTTAAATCTAAATGTTGAGAAGCAGTGAAAAGATAACGATACCAAATAAAATTTGCGTTTCATACAAATTGACTTTAAAATGTTCAGGAAAACTATGAATGGAGAAATCGAGGAATCGGGACACCCTGTATCTCGAACGTGTTTTGACATTCGCTTGATATGGGACAAACCTGGACAACGAAGGCGATTCGATCGGCATCTCGGATCGTGAAAAAAACTCGGCGAATTTGAATAAAACGCTCGTTAAAATGATTTGTCCGCTGTCGGTTGTCCGACTTTAAACGAGACCCCCTAAATTCGCCGCAAATATCTGGCGGCGGGTTCTTCGAATACAGCGGATTTTTATTCCCGCTCGTAAATCTCCGCGGACGCGCACGGTGACTTTTTGTGACATTCGGGAAGCCCGATATCCTGAATTTAAATTATGCTTAATTTAATTCGCGGCTGCGCCGCGATTGAGCGTAATGTTTCGCCGTCCCAATAGGTCTCGCTTCAGAGTGGTTAAGGTTCCGATCTAAATGTGTCTCTCGTACCGAAATTACGTGAATCGATATCTGTGAATATTTCCGATATTTTAGAGAGAAGATGGGGAGAAAAAGAAAGAGAGGAAAAGAGAGAGTAAATTCAGTATATTTAGCATCTCGTTCTATCTCCTGGAAAAAAGCGGGTCGCGTAAACGCCGATTCGATCGTCGTCAGGACGACATTACTTGGCAAGGACGACTGCCGCCATCGTCATTGCCCATTGGCCTAAATCGCGGTCTAGCTACGTGCGGCATGCTAATTCGGACGAGGAGAAATGCTAATATCTTTCATTTTATTTCCGTCCGACGCCAGTCTTTCTTGTCAGCGCTGAGTACGTTAATTGGGACGATTTAATTAATCGCGTCAATTCGACGTGTCTCTTTTAATGTTTATCTCATAATTTCAGTAAAAATAGTATTCTATGACATTCATTTTTGCTATCTTGTATTTCGACAGATTACCCAATAATCCTATAGAGAAAGTTCGGGTAATCGAAATTATCCTTGAAACTATCCTAAGCCTTTCAAGATAACTTGGAAACAATTAAAGATAGTTAAACTTTGTTTTGGTTGATTTGTAATGAAAACGTGTTTTTAACAAATTCCGTTTATTTATAGTGAGTTTAATGTTATAGCAAAATTTTTGAAGGTAGACTTTTATAGGGTAATTTGAATCACGTCGGGCAAAGTGAACCACTTTATTAATCTTACAAAAAATAGTTTTTATCGTATTTTAAGGCATATTAATAATGAAAGTATAATAATAATTATTTTACATATTTATTTTAAGGCATATTAATAATGAAATTATAATAATTATTATATTACATATTTATTATATTCAAATTTATTACAAACTCTATTTTTATGCTCTTTTACTAACAATTAATGTCATACAAATATATATGTAACATGTTTAAAACTTTTACTTATAATAATATATACTTATAAGGTATACTCATCATAATATTATTACTTCTGAAAGAAAGAAACACACAATAAAATATAAAAT